AGCCCTTGTGTAGCTTTGTAGACATAATTACAAACAAACAAACTAATATAAAATTGTGGATCAATTTAGGTTTTAAAATAAAATATGTATGTTAATTATGCACAAGACTAATCGTCTTTTTTAATTACGTTCATTATCCGTCCGGATTTTAATTATAAGGCCCAACTTTCCGACAAAATGCTCGTCGGGACAACAATAATAATTAAAGTCTGCGCCAGCTCTGAAATTAGCGCGGTGGCGCTGATAAGCGGCAATTTTATTATTATTATTCGTGGCAGGTGTTTATTTATAAATGGAAAGAAAGAAACTTTCCTCAGCTGATTTGTTTGTTTGTAATTAAGCACAAAGCTATACAATGGGTTAGCTGTGCTCTGCCCACCACGGGTATCGAAACTCGGATTCTAGCGTTGTAAGTCCGCAGACATACCGCTGTGCCATTGGGGAGCTCCTCAGCTGACGTGTTCAGGGACATTAGTACTTTCCTTCGCCCCGAAACGGAAGGTTTCCTTTGATTGCTACAGCAGACGATAAACAAGTGCATATATATAAATGTGAAAATGAAATAATATACTTATAAAAAAGAACAACAACAGAAAGATGACAAAAAAAAATGAAGTTTAAAATATGGGTGATAAATAAGGTGTTATTTGATTCATACCCGTTATATTATTATATTAAATAAACTGATTTACGGATTCGATGAGACGATGCACTTTCAAGTGCCCTCAAAATAAAAATACGTGGTATGCACTAGTAGTACTTCCTACTTCCTATTTATAAAAGGAAGCAATTATCCCGAACTATTTTAATCTGTACATTTTAACATATTCAATTGTAGCAGGTGAGATTAGCCTAGTTTTACACAAAACATAACATTTTATAACTTATTCCTTATTAACAGTAGTAACATTGGAATGTTTATATTTTTACACAAAACATAACATTTTATAACTTATTCCTTATTAACTGTAGTAACATTGGAATGTTTATATTTTTACACAAAACATAACATTTGATAACTTATTCCTTACTAACTGTAGTAACATTGGAATGTTTATATTTTTACACAAAACATAACATTTTATAACTTATTCCTTACTAACTGTAGTAACATTGGAATGTTTATATTTTTACACAAAACATAACATTTGATAACTTATTCCTTACTAACTGTAGTAACATTGGAATGTCTATATTGTTACACAAAACATAACATTTTATAACTTATTCCTTACTAACAGTAGTAACATTGGAATGTTTATATTTTTACACAAAACATAACATTTTATAACTTATTCCGTACTAACTGTAGTAACATTGGAATGTTTATATTTTTACACAAAACATAACATTTTATAACTTATTCCTTACTAACTGTAGTAACATTGGAATGTTTATATTTTTACACAAAACATAACATTTTATAACTTATTCCTTACTAACTGTAGTAACATTGGAATGTTTATATTTTTACACAAAACATAACATTTTATAACTTATTCCTTACTAACTGTAGTAACATTGGAATGTTTTCTACGTTACTTGAATTTGCCCATGATGTTTTAGGTACACTTCAAAGTGACTTAAGGAGCTAAAGTCCTGGTAATCATACAGAGTTGTTTAAAAATATGCATCACTGTTCAAGAATATGTCATTCCCACGTAACTGAATGTGTTGAAATGCAAATAATTTTTGTGCCCACTTTGTTTCCAAAGCCATTTGGTATAATTGAAAATTAACATAAACAGAAATACTTCATGAAAACTTAGTTAAATGTTAATTTCACCTTTCATAGTTAGCACATAGGGTTGTTCAAATCTGTGAGTGCCTAACATTTATAGCCTATTCTTCCACCACAAGTGGTGTTCTTTGTAATGACCCTGGTTATGAGCTTTTGTGCAAAACACTGAGGTCAATGATGTTCTTCTTTTCTTTACATGGTGACTTCTCAAGGCCCATTTTAACAACCTTAGAGGCACAAAGTTCATGTCAGATGTCTGTGAATGGTAAACCATGAAATCTAATTGGTACTTTCATTTTGTTGGAGAAATTGCAATGTGTGGCTGGATGTTATGTTTTGACTGAGCCATAACTTATTGGCTTCGAATCTGTAGAGATGGGATATTTTATTGCAATGTAGTGGTATCAGCACGTCAATGTGTTAGTAAACAGAGTAGTTCACTTTAGACTTTTTCTCAACTCTCGAGATATTTAACTTATCGTTATAACTGATGAATTAGTATTTAACTGTGGCTTCAGTTTTCTTGGAACCACATGTAATTTCAAAACTAATGTTGACCACCATTATCAAAAAATTGAAGTTAGGGTTGATATTCTTTCATAAAAACTTTTATATAAAATAATAAAAACAAATATTTCAAGCTGTAGAACTGACTAATAGATGTCTAGAAATGTAATCTGCACTTGCAAATCATACTTTAACTGAAATAGTACATGCAGGTCAGGGCTTTTAACCTATGTAATCACAGGCTACATCACAGGCTATTATAAAAAACTTGAACTCGTGAATTTCTAACCCTAAACGTAATAAAGAGAAGTAAATTTGAAACCCACCGGAACCATTAGCAACAATATTGTTACCTGTAGAATCGGTGTAATGAAAATATGACAAAAATATAATCACTTGAAAAAAAACAAAAAACATGCAATAACCATTTATGGAGCATTATTAAATATTAACATCTTTAAAACGATTAAAATTATTTAGAAAATGTTTGAAAGTAACAAGTAAATTTTAGAGTATTTGCAAGTTTGTTACTGCATATTTAGTGACTGGCAAAAACGCGTGGTATAAAAATTAAACTGGCCAGGATATATATACTTTTAAGCACAAAGCTACGCAGTAGAGTCTGCCCACAACGGTTATCAAAACCCGATTTCTAGTGTTATATAGCTTCACAGTTACCACTGAGACACCGTGGGGGTGGATGGAGGAGTCATGAAGATCGGAGATGTGAGGACAAAAAAGAGAGAATGCGACGGCATATAGGGAGGGGGGGGGGGGAGAAGAAATAAACAAACACAAAGAAAGAAAGCAGGAAAGAAATGGATGGATCAAAAAGATGGTGGAAGAAAAAATAAAGAAATGTACAGATGCATTGGAAAAATTTGTGAAAGAAGAAGAATTGAAATAATAATAAACATTAAAAAATGTAAGTAGTAGTATTGAATTAAGCAGAAACTGTGTGTAAAGATTACCTGTTTTCCCTACATGTATTGTAGAAAATTATCTAAGGAAAATAAATTCAGTACTTAGATTCTAGGAGTACAATACCGGTACACTCAAGAAATTGTTAGGCTGGAAGCGCCACATTATTTTACCTGCAGACCAGATCAACGATGATATAGTAGTCAGTTAAGAAAAAAATGTGATAATACATCTAAACACAGATCAATCTGGCCCATTCTAGAAATAAAGCACTTCGCTATTTCCAAGTTTTTATAACGTTTTATAGACAATGTTTTCATTAATGTTACGGTGTATATATCCTAGGCGTTATGTATAGTTAGTGGTTAAGACGCTCGACTCGCAATCTGAATTTCGAATTTATGTCACTAAATATACTCGTTCTTTCAGCCGTGGGAGCATTATATGTTACGGTCAATCCCACTATTAGTTGGTAAAAGAGTAGCCCAAGAGTTGACGGTGGTGATGTTTACTAGCTGCCTTCCCTCTAGGCTGTGACTGATAACTTAGGGACAGTTAACATGTACTTTGTCAAATTTTTTTAAAAAAGAATCGGAGCTCAAAAATATAATATTTTTCGTATCTCAGAAAAGTCCAACTTGGAAATCTGGGGAGTGCTGTAAGCACACACACACAGTGGCAGATAATGACAAGATCAAGATGAAAACGAATTTGGAAGCATCTGGCATCACTAAAAAACGCATTTGTTGGTGGTGTTTTCAAAAACAAAAAATTCATTGTTGAAAAAGAAGTCAAGCTGAGCTCCACCACAAAAATAGGTCTATGTGTAGTTATCTCTAACTTGTTAATTGTATTATTATTATTATCTTAATACCAGAACTACCACATACGTCTGTTCAAATATCCCTGTGTTGTGTTAGATATTGCTTCACTTCAAATAAAGTATAGACATTGTTAGAACATTGGCAAGTAGTATAAATTCTTGTCTTATATGTACCACTCCGGTCATGTCTTTACAAACCAGAGATCTGAATTTAACCTTTGTTTAAGGGAATAGGGGGATGAGGACCGGGAAGGGGTGAGATCATACGACGGATGCCATTAATTGCTTTCAGTATAGACTGATCCTGTGCATAGTGGCATCAGTCGGGAACGATAACTTGCATGGTTTCTTCCCCCTATCGGATCCATAACTAGTTTTCATAAAGTTAGAGTTGTTTATAAATTCAACAATGTTTCGTCGAATGAGTTTGTACGCTGTTCGTCGTTCCAGCATGGTAATATTTTTGTCATCTATTCGTTTAAGATACAGTCCATGTTATAATTACTGTCTTTTTTTTTTTTTAATGGTCAAACGAATGATCTGGATCATACACTTGACAAGCAGAATGTAGCCAGACAACCCTAGCTATGGTTGTAAGTTTTGGAAAGCATTTATTTCTACGTTACAACTTAGCTTTATAAACATTATATGTGATCAGTAATGACGAGTTAAAATATTTATTTGCATTTCTTGTAGGTTTTTTCCCATCGAAATCTTTGTAATTGTCTTGAATTGTCTGCATGAAAATTCTCAGGAAGATTATGCAAACATAAATTTTAGTTTCCTTTATATTGTAGACTCGCAAAGGAAATTTCCGTTTGTCATTATCTATACAATAATATTAGTCTGTCATCAGATTTTTGTAGAAGAATTGACAAAAAGATTTATAGTAACAAAATTCACGTAGCTACCTTCAAACACCTCGTATATTTACTGAAAACTCATTGCTAGATAGATAGTTTATAAATAGTTGAGTCTAGGGCAGTGCACTAGTTCTTGCAATTTTATTGTAAGATGGTCATAATATTGTTTTTCTTTGAAGGGAGTTAAAAATTCTGTTAACCAGCCCAGTAGCTTTAAGCAATGTTACGAAAATAAAGGGAAATATAATATCAACGTTAATATAAAGATCTCATCTTTAACATTTTCCTATATGTATATGGTGATTTTTTTAAATGTTTTATGGGGTGATATAATTATGAAAAACTAGCTGAACAAAGTAAATATTTTGCGATGCACCTATAAAAAAATTAATTAGGTTTATGAAACATCATTGATCTCAAGTTGTTGTTTTTATTAGTCCTACATCTGAATGTCATCTTCAAACATAAACAATATTATGAGTGATAAATATGCATTATTTCTCACGAATCTTCCTAAAACAGAGATTTTGCTAATAAAAAACAACAACACTATATTCAAAAATTTGTTCAAATAAATAAATGTGATTTTTCTCTCTTTTTAAAAGTTTTTTGTTGTTAAGTACAAATTTACACAAAAAGACTATCTGTACTGTGCTAATCGCGGGTATCGAAACCCGATTTTTAGCGTTTAATATTTCATACCGTTGAGTCACTTGGAGGGGGGGGGCATTTTGTTTTAATAAAATAAAATTTTATTTTCGTAACAGATATACTTAGCCTTCGCTGATTACATCTTAGGAACAATATAGCTTATGATAATATTATTTGACATTTTGGCCATGGGCTTGTAAATGTCTCAATAATGATGTACTTCGTATTTTGCCGGTATCACTGAAATCCATGTTGTATAAATAATCTTATCCTGATTCTTCCTGAGTAGGTCATCGTCTTCGTCATATTATCTACATATAAGTGTGGGCATCTGTATCGGGCAGTGATTTGTGAACCATTTAATTCATAACTTAGTGTATAAAAACAGGCCCACAAATCTTATTAAGTTGTCTTAAATAAACATAAATAAATCTAACTGGAAATTAACTCCTATTTACTCAATGTTTTAAATTTTTATAGACACTACTTCGTGTTTTTACAATTCGGGGCAGGAATCGTGGTAGTGGAACTTGTTCTATGTTAGGCAGAAGATGCGAAGAAGTACAAAATGGATTATTAAATCACATAACCATGTCCATTCATAAAGAATAAATTCGCAGAGGTATCAAACCGAAATAAGAATACGTTTTTTGAAATAGTGTTCCCAGTTTAATATTTTTTTCCCGTTTCGTTTGTTTGTAGTTAAGCAGAAAGTTACACAATGAGTTATCTGTGCTCTGCCTACCACGGGTATCAAAACCCTATTTCTAGTGCTATAAATCCGCAGACATACCCCTGTACCACTGGGGGGAAAGGGAATACTACCAAAATGATTGGTATGTGACAAATAGATGTTTTAATATTCACAACGTTTCGGGCCGGGACACCCTTCCTCTGGTGATTTTATACTCTTTGATGGAACAAAAAGATCAAGACACACGGTAGAGTGTCATACGGCCAAGACAAAAAAAAAAAAGAGAGAGAGAAGCGCAGCATACAGTGTGATATTTACCAATGAATTGCAATTTCCTGCTATCTGTAACTTAATACTCCCTCTATGAATTTTTCTGAATTTTACACCTATATTGCCTCCCGGTTTGCTTTCCTCACTTGCCAAATTTCGAGAAAATCCATGCAGCCAACACTGAGATATGCGATGCTAAATTCGTCTGATTTTTTTCGTCGTCTTCTTCTACACACCAAATTGTACGGTATTTTTGAAAACGTAAACAACAAGAACAAAAAAATATACGTCCCAAACTTCGGTTTGTAGGAAAATTTGATACACGTTTAACATACCGCTTACTTTACGTCTGTACAAAATTTCGCGCAAACCAAACATAACGTTTAGCTGTTACAGTAAAAAGAACGGCGATTTTTGAAGGATATTTTTTGCTCAGATCTGCAGGACAAATAGTAAATGGAATTGTTCTGAAATTATTTATTGAAATTTCCCTAATCTCATCTTAAAAATCGGCTGGCATCCGGTTTTTATCGGATTTCAGTTGGCTATGGTATCCAGGCCTACAACAGAAAAGGATGTATACATCTTGTTCTACAGCCTATATCATACTGTCTCTTCAGCATGTGATAGTTTACATGTATGTAAGTAACAATAGAATATTGTACTATGGAACTTTGAAAGTATTCTCTATATTTTACAGCTTCTCTACAGGGTGGACATTCAATTGATATGTAGGCCAAATGCTGCTTGACGAGATAAATCCATGTATGAGTAAAATTCATGCATTTACTGCTCATACTTGTACATATATGTATTTTTTAGTTTCGTTTATCACAAAAAAGATGTGATAATATCCCTCACAATCACATGTTATTTTTTTTTAAACCAGAAACAGCCCAGCTGTAAAAAAAAGTGGGACCAAGAAAAATAACTTATCTGGATCGGAATCTAGAGCCTTGTCGGGACTGGAAAACGGCGACTAAAAGATATGAAATCACAATTGGCGG